CTGTTTTATGTATGACTATCGAATACGTTCAAGAATTGTTTGAAAAGAATGATGAATTTTTGTTTTCAATATCCTCTATGCTTTTGCAAAAATAGTTTAAATTAGTCTGTTGTATCTCCGACAAGGCTTTTTGGTCGGTATCAAAAATTGCATAAAGCAAGGAACGAAAATATCTTTATAAAAAGTGCTCTGTCAACCTGGGATCGATTCCTAGTTCAGCCAATGGAAAACTTTTTCAATTTTCGGGATTCTGGCCATACCGGCCTGTGCATTAATCTGTTCCGACAACCGTAGAAAGTGGGGTGCGTCAGTAACCGAAGTGTAATCCATTGAAAATTCAATTCCTTCGATACAAAGAAAAAATCTGAGATGTTCATAACACCGAAAACAAAAAGGGAAAATCCTTTTGATGTAAAAACAAAACCAAGAAGAAACTTTACTATTCTGAGCAAAGCCAAACATAACTTTTTTAAAATGAAATTTATTTTAAACACAAAACATCCAACAAAATGAATTACCGAGTTACAATGAAAAAGTACCGTAGTTCCACCTAACATTAATAATTATAAAAGTAGCCTAGAAATAATAATTAATGAATCTTTTTAATGAGGCCTGCGTAACGACTTCGCCTTGTCAATCTAAGTGACAACTGCGGCTTTATTGTTCACAGATAATAAATCACAAGTTCGACCTGTCAAAAATGTAAGGACGAACTTTGACGTTTGAGAGGCAAAGGTATTTATAGCTAGCGAGAGTAGCGACCCTGTGGAACTTCGTGCACATATTAACTTTACTGGCTTAACGCTGGAACTGTATTAGCAACTAGCTAGTAAGGTAGAACTGTTTAATTGCGTACACACAAGTTCAGCGGCTTTGGAATTATTGAAGTTGTAGCAACATTGGCATGGCGTGCCCACTAACTCCCCGGGCGGAAACTCGTAACCTATGCATATGGACGAGGTATCTGTGCTCTACAACGAGCTCAAGTTGCCGGCCACTTAGATGAGTGGGCTCGGACGTTACTACAAGATCAACACAGTCTACAATATGGGTAGTATACATATACTATGATATTTAGTCTCAAGTTTTTTTTAATCAATTATGTATATATTTATCATTATCATCTATATCGACTAATCTTTTTATGACTATTTACCCTATCTATTCAAATAAAACATAATGACAATCGACACACACAAGGCCGACGTTTGTCTCATTTTCTTTGGAACAGCAACAGATACGTTGAAGCTACAGTTATTACGTACATATTGTAAAATTAAATCATTGAGCTTTGATGTAAACGTCACCTGCGCCCACGCATGCCGTTAACGTTTGATACGATTATGACGTCAGCCCACGAGGTCCGCGATCAGTAACGCGTGATTTTTGCAAAGATTTTCCTTAGTCTTGTCATGTAGATGAAAGTATTGATCATGACTTCTAATGTACGAATCATTTATATTCAATCTGGTTTATTAAAAATGGCTTTGGATTTTAGTATTCGCTTTTCTTTTTATCCACTCTCAGCGATGTCTCCCTAGATTTTATTGAGCTCCTCGAACGATCTTTTCATTTACGTTTAAAGCATAATTGGTCAATTCACATTTCAACATTTCTTACTGGTCAGTTTGGTTTAAATCTAAAATATTAGGTACTGAAAACTTAGGTCATCTGTAATAATAATAATTAAACTTATATTTAGTTTATGAAATAAATCATTTTGTAAGTATGTTTTTTTGTTAGAGCTATTTTATTTTCTAAACAACACAATGCCCCCTCTCTATTTGGAGAGGTACAACAATCGCTATCCGCTAGCACAGTGACCACGCCTGACTATATTCATAGTAACAATGACGTGTGCCTATTGCCTACGTGGCACGTTGTAATAAAACATGAATGTGGCGAAACCAAGGATTTATCCCGGGGCCATTACTTACGGGACTTTTGGCAATAATGGGGCGCGCCACTTAGGACCAACGCTATGTAATGTGAAGAGAATGGAAAGCCAACTATCGTTGGATTTGATTGTATTTTTTGGTTAGTGTTGTTTGATGGGCTGATGAATTAGTTCCTCATTTTTCAAAAGAAAAGGTTTCGTTGAATGATTGTGACCAGGTGGAAGCGTTACGTCTTAGCGGTGATGGAATAAATGTAGCAATGATCAACATAAAGCCATAATAAGTCTGTCTACTTTTTAGAAATAAAGACGAAAATGTTCTGGTAATTTGAGATATTGTATGTAAAGAAATGTAGTTAATCAAATAACCACGAATAAGCGGCCAAATAACATACACAAACTGAATAAGCAATTTAACACATTATCACTCATTCATTTAATAATTTGTAGGAGTGTAAAGTTTAGTGTTACGGTGTCATAAAGGGCCCGAGGTGTGAACACAACTTTGACCCTTTCGCTGACCGCTTCTATTGTTCTAATTCTTCGTTATATTAAATAATGTACTGAGTTACAACTAACGCAAACCCATTATTCATATAATATAATGTCAATAAACCTACACTACGTTTTACTTTTGTATGTTAATTTTAGTAAGATAATAGTTTTTTTCGACTACTAAGTACTACTAGGTACTTAATTTAGAGATCAGATATTTTTCTAATTTGATAAATCGCCAAATGAACCTGCGGTTTGCCTGATGGTAAGCAATTGGCGCCACCAATGGACATCCGCAGCGCCAGAGGAGTAACAACTGCGTTGTTAGCTTTTTGGGGATAAGGGTTTCGGATATTTACGGATCGGGGAGGGAGGTGAAGGATTGGGCCTTCGGTAACCTCACTCACACGACGAAACACGACACTGTGATTGTTCTACATCACTTTTCTGTGAGGCCCTGGTATCAGTCCGGTCGATATCTTATTATCACAATCATTCTACGAAAAGAAAAGACAATGCTATCCAATACTTTAAGCAACAATCCTTAATCTAAAAATCGACATTGTCAATCAACTAGTTGATCAAAGAGATCCATGTCATATTTTTTTCAAAATCAATTAGGTGGTTAGGTAGGTACTTTATTATCTACATAATGACCGAACTGGCACACTCGCAAAACAGAAAAATCTTCAATCAATCGCATGGACTCATCCATGTCTTTAGTTATCAATAGTTAGTAGTTCACGTAGTACAAAACAAACTCGCTTTCTCTGTCCCTATATCCTTAAGTATGCTTATAAACCTTTTAGACTACTGTCACAACTAATTTTGACGCCGTTTTTTAAGAGATAGTAATTGGAGAGTAAATATTATAATAATATTAACATCCAATAAATAGTGGAGTTAGTATCAGCATTACACTTGCGCGAAGCTGGTGCTGGTCGCTAGTTTATTATCGTGTATTTCGTGTTGTATCGCACCAGAAGCTTTTTTTAAACAGTGCCCCACACTAAGATTTTCTCCCGTGTCGTGGTTGCGTTTCATCATCATCATCAGCCTATAAGTGCCCACTGCTGAGCAAAGGTATTTGCCCGGTTTCGAGCCCACACCCTCATGCATGAGAAGCGGGCGCCTTAAACTCGGGGTCACGGCGACAACTATAGTGGGTGCCTTAGCGTGGGTGCGTTTACAAACATACAATTTCACACACACTTTACACCAAGACCCGGAACAACAATTTGTGGATCATACAAAAAGTTGTTCTGAGTGGGAATCGAACCCGCGACACGTTGCTCGGCAGCCAGTTGCCCAGCCACTGCGGCTACCGTGCAGTGTCTATTTGGTTTAATACATTAGATAAGAATAGTTATAGACACAATTGCGTAGCATGCTGCGTTGTCACATGCTTTCCATATAGTAAACAACAAGTGTGCCTCTAACCATAGTAGGTAAACATTGCTGAAACAAAGACCCATTTGTAATCCTTCCCCCGAAAACTTAAATAAATCAACATAAAACATTTATTTTGTCTTTTATTCAATCCTTATCATTCACATCCAAAACAACAGACAAACAAAATATTGCCCAACACGCCCCTCCGTGCAATAAATCTACAAAAATCACACTGTAGAGAGAAAGTGTAATTTACATCCTCAATTTCCCACTTATCATAAAAACACACACATAAATATAAAAAGTCCAGTAACAAGCACTTTGCTATCGGCAAGCTCGCACGGATTGCCATACTTCCGCCATTTTGACATAATCATTTATGATTTATTTGACACATTGATACTTTGGCGCTATCTGATGGCGTCTGACAGCGTGGGCGCATAGTGTTGTATTCAAATCTTACTATTTTTCATAATAAATCATAAATAAATTTGATTAAAAAATATTATAAATGAGTTTTGTTCCAGTTTCTAAAATAATATTAAATTAAATAAAATAATGATGTGATTTATGTGTATAAAATAATATTATTAAAAATGTTAACGATAGATCAGATTTTCATTATATTCAAAAATAAAATTTGACTGTCGTACGTTTTGAAAATGGGTTTAATTTCTTTTTTCCATAAAGTACACTGGATAGTAAAAAGTTACAACGGGTTTAAAAAGCTTCGAAAAACTGAAACGACTTTTATGGAATATCGATACTCAATAGTTGCAATAGCTATACCGTAACGCCGTGACTTTTAATCCCGAAAGGGGTAGACAGAGGTAGGCAATTACAGAATACTATTCAATACGTTTCAGTATTTATTGTGATAGTTTCAATACATTATCAATTGCAAATCATAATATGTATAAAGAGGACACGACTTGATTATATTCTTCTACTGTACAACTGAATAAATAGGTTTGCTTATAAAGATAAATCGATTAACTTTTTTAGGTTTCATAACAAAAAAGAAAAAACTTTCGAGGGAACTTATTTTCGTAATTCAATAAAAGTTAACTAGATGGCGTGGAAGAAAAAGCAAATAAAAGTTTTGATTACCTTTCGGCTTCTTACCGCAGCTGTCGGAGCCGGTGAGATTAGAAGTGATCAATGAATGAGTCTGCTCCTACCAATACTTATAACGTTATCAATAAAATAAACTCACCTATACTCGCAACTTTATTGTTGTGTTTTTCAGGTTTATACTCCAACACACGATACAAGTTTCCATCACAAAATAAATATTTTTTTTAGTACCTGTTATATTCCAATTTTAAAACTTTGTTTATAATTTGCACACCACTTAAATTTAGTCGATTTCACAACACACTTTATCAATTTCAAACATTATTTTAATCGATAGAAAGCTGTTCCGTCTAAAATAAATGCCATTTTATTTATCTTGTTCTAAAATTTATAGTCGCACTGTTAATATTTATGTGAATTTTAATTTCTGAAATAATATTTACAGTTTGTGCGTACGTTTCGTGCCAGTAACAGGTAAAACTGTAGGAATGTTCTATTGATATGTAGCTCACACGCCGACTAACTAATAAACCGCCTGTATCGGGGTTGGTTTATACTCCGACAAAGACAATAAAATAGAATGGACTTTACAGAACACTTTCTTTCTTCTATTTAACAGCAATGAAACCTATCGTTTTCCACCTATATTTTACTCAGTGTGAAATTATAAATGTGAAGGTTTGTGAGAATTTATGGATGCACTTCAGTTATTCTTTAACGCAAATACTGCTGCACCGACTTGGTTGAAATTATATTAAGAAATAGTCTGTTTTTTATCAACATAACATAACACGCGGGCAAAGGCGCGGGCGTAAGCTATTCTACACTAATATTATAAAGAGGTAAAATTTGTAAGTTTGTATGTAGGGGGTAATTTTTGGAACCGCTGGTCGGATTTCCAAAATTCTTTCACTGATAGATAGCTACAATGTTCCTGAGTGCTATTAGGCTACAAAACATCACGCTACGATTGAATAGAGCCGAGCAGCGGGTGAAACCGTGCGAGAGTAGCTAGTGTTATATAAACATGCGAAAAATATGAAAATATCACAGAAACTCATAAAAATGAAATGTAACCAGTGTATAACAATGAGGCCTGGTTTTTTATGATGATAATAACTGACACATGTACTAGATACCTAGAAACAAAAAAACGTTGAGTACCTACAATCCAGACTTTTAGGTAATCCGAATAAAGCACATAAAAATAAATCTAAAAAAGGAGCTCTTGACCTTTAACAAAACAATAACGGCATTAGCCAACCACTTACTCTTTTTAGATTTGCCTAAATATTAGTATTTTCATAAAATGGTACTTATTACTAGACCAGGTTGTATTTTTTTTAGAATTTCTTTCGTCTGTTGTAGTTGTGGTTTTTGGAACAATAGATAGCACTTGGACAACAAGTCCCGTTTATCGTGTTTCTTTCTAATTTATTATAATGAATGTTTTTTAGTCAGAGTTAAAACTGAAATGGAATAAAATCGCATTCAATGTTATTTTATTTTACTGCTATTTTAAGTACAAATTATAAAATCTTGATTGTATGTCTTCATTTTTGCCATCAAGTAGTTTTGTTAATTGACCGCAACTTTCTTGAGTAGGCACAGAACTGTCGGTTTCCAGCTCCATAATCTTTGACCTGTCTGGTCTAATATTAGGTGCGCGTGCGACGGCGGTCGTTGCGTATCAGTTTTAGTTTTTATTGTACGCCGCGCTGCGCGCCGCCGCCGTCCGGTGTATTTCGGGAATACTCGGCTTTATGGTCGGGAGACCGCGCTGGCGAAATGTACTGGGCTCATAGGGATTGTGATATAGCTGCTGACTTCATGATGATACTAGGTTTCAGAATAGTTGGTTTTGGAACGAGAATATCGTTAAACTAAATAACCCCTTAATCCTCGTGAAATAGAGCTGTACGTGGAGCTCAAATTGTTAGAGGTCAGTATTAAATTGTTATACTGTGAGGTCAAATAAAGTTTTGTTTTTTGCGCAATATTTTTTATAGAAATGTTCTTTTATATAAGTACCTTAAACGCATATGGTCGGTCAGTTGGACTTTATTTAGCTTAGGTTTTTTTTAATGTCATAGGTCAGCAAACGAGCAGACGGATTACCTGATGGTAAACAATCATCGCCATTCATGAACATTCGTAATATGGCCTCTTGTGGGTTATTAGGGATATATGAGGATAGGAGATTTCAGGATTCAGGATGGGGGATAATTCCCATTGGGAGGAAGGGAGATTGGGCCTAGGTTATGAAGAGGTCATAGTGTTGCTTCACGCCGGTTTTCTGTGAGGCCGTGCCATTCCAGTTAAGCCAACCGTTTCGTGCCAAAGGATGGCTCTTCCACACTTGAGGCACAGGCGTAATGGGCTGCTGGGGGTTGAAACTAATACGAGTAGATCAAGACAAAATAAGCAGACATTAATAAGCTGCTTCAATGTGAGATGTTCACTTTAAAACTCTGATGTCAGAAGATCGTTCAATTACTAGCACATTGTTCACTATTAATGGCTAGTATAAACAATGAAACGAGTTATTGAAGTCTCAGAATAGGTCAACCGCTTTCTTCCTGAGGATGTCGTAAAACATCGAATAAAGGAAGTCCGGCCGGTCTGGTGGTTCATCTCTATTATTTCAGAAATAATGCTGCTTGCAAATACTTTTAATTTTTTACTATGACGTCATAACTGTTCTTTGTCTTGGGAAGAATCATTCTTATATTTCAACTTCTACTTATTAGAAAATAACTGGGACGTCCTTGGAGATTGATCGAAGTAGGTGCCCCAAAATGTTTTCAATCTTCAATGATGGAGTTCTTTTGTTCATTCGTAATAAACTTGGTCTGTCATCATTACATAATACCTATATATAATTTGACTATGTTATAAATACATGTACTAATTTACCTAAACAAGATGTATACTAAACACTATATTATATTTGTAAAATGATACCCTTGATACACTCCATAATAACAAATTAATTCTGTGAATAGTTCAACAATAGGTAGCTATTAAATGTTTGGAATTAATTGCCTGCATTGCATTGGAACACAACTCTACGGCGAATGCCATTTACCAGTAGGTAATACGAACTACGATTTACCTGAATCTCTAATCGCAGTACACAACTATTTACCGATACAGTTTAATAACAGGAAATTATTGTGATTAGTACAATATTACAAACCAGTAACCCAACCTCATTTAGAATTATCAATTTTAGGAAATATCGCATGAGAACTAAACTCTCAGTTGGATTAAATTAAATTAATATTTAATATTAATAATATTTCGATGGATGCTCAATTTTCGCTATTGTCTTACGTTTATCATGGTTTTAATGTATTCTGTCTATGCATAGTACCTATGTAGTTTCACGGAACTGTAAAGTGTACCTGTTTTGCGTTTACAAAATCATGTATCCATTCATACAAAACTTAAATATCTTTTAAAAGAAGCAGAGTCATTATAATAGTATGACGATGAAACAATCATCGCCAAAACTAAAAAGGCAATCAAATGAAAGGATTTTAAATAATTTGGTCTCATTCGAATATCGCAAAACCTCAAACATTTCGAACTACACAGGAATCAAATATGATGACTGGTCAGGAGTTAGTACATCAGTCTATATAAGAGGCTAGTTAATGTCCCGATGAGATACTTAGCTACATTCTACGCCTGATCAAGTCCACGTCCAATCCAATATTAAATAGGTAAACAAGGAAAACTATAACAACAACATGAGGACGATGACCTTAATAATAATTTAATTTTTTCAGCGCAAATCCAAATGCAATTTCTGCGAAACAGTGTTCGGTAAGAAAATGAAATGACGTCAACTTCAGTAACCATGTCCAGAAAGCTAAATATAGCGGGGCTATTAGCATTGTTGACTTAAATAAGGCAGGTCATTATGTTCGACGCACATACACATTGCTTGGAGCTTATTGTCGGCACTGACATGCGATTGGCATCTGCATTAAAGGCTGGAAGCGCCATTCCTAATTGATAGATTGAGTTGATGATCCATAAATCATCGTATCTACTATAAAGACATTGACTTTTTAGGTCAGGTAATTAAATATGTTGATATGTTCTTATCAACCCCCGAGGAAATAGTCACAGGTGTGTGACATATACATTGTAATTTATATACCATTACCATTCGATACGGCGTGGTTTTTCTATACTACCTAATATTATAAAGAGGTAAAATTTGTAAGTTTGTATGTAGGGGGCAATCATTGGAACCGCTGGTCGGATTTCCAATGTTAATAATGCTACAGTGTTCCTGAGTAGGTACTATAGGCTATAAAATACCACGCTACGATTGAATAGAGCCGAGCAGCGGGTGAAACCGCGCGAGATTAGCTAGTAGTGAATAAAAGTCTTACACTTGCTAACGTCTAGCCTCATAGCTGAAGAAGAATGAGTAGTCTAGTTTTCTTCAGGAAGAGACTGACACTCCCTATCGTCGTGTACAAGGCGGGAGAACTTATTTGATGATGATTTTCTACCCATAAAATAAGACACACAATCAAATAAAAAACTCATACCTATTCGGTACGTCTTCTCTGTATAACAATTTTATTTATTTCACAACACGAACAATATTCTATAATACCTGTCCAATATCTGTTTCACACTGAAACATGATTATTAAAAAATAAAAGCAACATGAAATAAGTAAATATTGAAATTGTAAATACGTTGTATAAACAAAGCAAATAAAACAAACGAATATCTTCCTTTTTATTTATGTTTTATTTTTGTTCAGAGTATTTTTATCTGTAATTTGGGATTACCCCGCGGTATATCGAATGGGTGATTGCCTTCAACCATCCGTAAAAAAGTACAAGTAGGTATGCCTAAAATGTTTTAATTGACTACACCACTAACTCTTACCTGCGACTTCACTTACCTATACTAAGTTTTTTTGTGTTATCTAATTACACAATTGCATACGACATTCAATTATCAAAAATTATATGGAGGAAAGTTTTGATAGTTTTTGTTTGAACTTGAATAACCTGAAACTACGTAATCGATATGAAAATATCTTTCACTGTTTGGAAACTTTATCCCCAGTAGATGCATACTTACGATATACTTATTTTTAGTTTAAGTTTAGGACCTGTAATATAACTCCATTAACGTAACTAAAGCGTAAAAACCGGCCAAGTGCGAGTCGGGCTCGCGCACAAAGGGTTCCGTAGCAGCAAATATAATAAACTTATTATGTCCCGCGCGAGACCACGCCCCGCACAACTCACGCGCTGCAGCGCAGCGAGCGACCGATCTTCTTGAATCGATGTAATAATAATCTATAGGATTAACGCGTTTTAAAAATATTGGTTCGATGGATATGTTTAACCTATTATTACTCAACAATCACATTTGTAATATTAAACTTTATCAAATGCACAATGTATTTAAGGTACATTACTGGATAAGGATTAATGGCGTTTTGCTTGAATAAGCTAATATTTCTCGTAAAAAGTACCTACATTATAAAGATTTTATATCATCGCGGAT